CCACAGTCTAACCCAATCCAATCCATTTAAATTAAGTTTATTGTATGTATTTATTTGTGTTTATGATGTATTTATTTGTTCATTTTTGTTTCTATTAATTCTTTGATGCTTATTATTTATTTATTTTAAAATTATTTATTGTTTTCCTTTCAGACTTGAGAATTTGGGGGGATGTTTTATTCAAGAAAATATTTACTTTTTTTATATTTTCTTAATATATTGATTGAACAATATATAAATGAATCAAAACTATCTAAATAAATAATATGGATACAACTGTTTATTAAAATAATAAACAAACAAAAATACACAAATAAACATCAACAAATTAATAAAAACATAACCAAATACACAAATAAATATATCCATAAATACAATAAACTTTTTATTTTTATTCTTTGATTAATATTAATTAATATTTGTATTACTGGCAATTAATTACAATTATTAATTGTTCCTTTTCATTTCAAACATGAGAATTTTGTGGGGATTTTTTTCAAGAATGTATATATATATTAAGCAATATATTAATTATTAATTTAAAAAATATGAATATGACAAATATTTATTGATAGTAATAGTTACAGTATTGATAGTAAAAAATATATATATAATTTTTGTATTAAAAAAGTATTTTAAAAAACCTTTGTAATTAATGAAAGTCCAAAAATCTATATAAAGATTCATCCATCCATATGTATGTATATGGATTATTAAGAAAATAAGTAGTCATATCTGATTTAATTTTGACTTCAATTCAGTGCTAAAGAATTCTAATATGGAGCTATGAAGAAATAACCTGTTTTTCTGGTCTTCCAGGCTACAGGTCAGCCGTATGAGCAGTACGCTAAAATGATCTTCATGGAGCTGAGCGATGCCTGGTCCGAGTTTGAGAACCAAGGAGCCAAAGCCCTGTTCTGAGCATGCTCAGTGAGCGTCTGCCAGGAGCGGCGGGCCCCCTACAGGCACAGCGCTCGCTCGCTCTCTCCATACACACAGACACACGGCTCTTGAGAGTCTGACAGTGAGACAGATCAATCAGAGAAGGAAAACACACCTCTTTCTGCTTGAGGAACAGTCTAATCTCTTCCTGAACTCTGGAGTGAAACCTGTGGCGCTGGATCTCTCCTCCTTCAAAAGGGGAACATGCTAGCATCCTTTTGGCATTTGTAGATGATTAAAAACCATGCGCGCGCACACCAACACCTGAGAATACAGTCTGTGTCTTGCACTTCAAAAGAGCTCCAAAACAGATGGTTTCTGGGATGAAGACGAAATGACTATCGCTGAACTTTTTCCACGTCATTCTATGCATCACACTATTGTTTTCACTTTTTGTTTTTCAATCAGTGTGGCTTGTCACTTACTGATGTAAATAATCACTCGACTGTGTGTGTGTGTTTGAGGGTGGATCATGTTCATATGAAGCTAAAGCAGAGGTTTTGACTTCTGTGCTCCACGACGTGAAGGCTTCAGTTTTGTCATGTTTTCACTGATCTCTAGTGTTAATTCTCTCCAGGCACCTCGTGGGAAGGTGTGTTTGTGTATTTGTGGGTTCAGGGCTCAATTTCCGCTGTCCAAAGGGTATTTCAGTGACCGAAAACACACTTAACCAACAAAAAGTGTGAGCTTTCCATAATTTTAGTTTTTTATCTCAAGGACCATTCAGAAATGTCTGTTATTTATTGTTCTGAAAGCTGTACATGGCTAATTGGTGGATATAAAAAGGACTAAAATAACACATTTATTGTAAACGATGGAACAAACAAGCTAAGCATTTTGCAAAACTAAAACCATTCCAAAGCATCTACTAACATGAATGTAAGTTTTTATTTATTTTTGTACCATTTTCCACAATTTTTTATGTTTCCGTAGTCTCTTAATAATGACACTAGAACGTTTGCACCAATCCCTCAGGACATCAGGCCAAATTCAGTGTCCGATTGAAAAAGAAAATAAAAAGTCTGATAAAATAATAAGACAATTATAATAGACGATGAAGTGAGGGTGGAAATGTATGCTGTTTTGTATATAGACCTATAGTTTGAAATATGTCATCTTATAAAAACAACAATCAAGGACTGGAAGAAAATGCTGATTGGTAAAGACTTGGCGAGTCGAGTTCTGTGACCTGCGATTCTTCATGTCCGATGCGGTCTGACTAAACACAACCAAATCCTTCATCCGTGTTACCGGTTTCTGAGCAAAAACATTTGCAGTTAAAGGGACAGAGGGACCGCTTCAGATTGTTGGTTCAGGGTTTTTAGTGATTTTGGAAAAGTTTTGGCTTATTCACCCTCCACCAAAGTCATAAACGATCATAAATGTTTCAAACTGCCATTTGTGTTCAAAATCTTTATTGGTTGCATAATTAGGGAATATGTTGAATGGGCTCTGATTGAAATGAATGACTTAATTTAGTCTATAAATAAATGTTCTTATTCTGTGAATATATACTTATCTTCCCCAAGAAATGAGCAATGCTGCTGCATTTTGGTGGAGCGTGAATATCTTTTAATAAGACACATTTTCAATCTTTTTGCCCACTCAGCTTTCCTTTGGATGTCAAACTAGTGTTTCTCACCAGCTGTCTCCTGCAGTGGAGAACAAAATCATAATACCGCGGTCTTGAAAGATAGTTTTGTCATATTTTTCTTTTGTCAAATTTTGACCAATAAACCATAATCATGGTTTGGGTTTAGACTGTCTTTTTTTCTCTCTCTCTCACTCTCTCGTTTTAATATTAGTCATTCGCGTTTTAGTGCCATGTTAAAGAAAAAAAAAGTAGGGCTGGGTAAAAAAATATCAATATCTCGATATTAATCGATTCTCTTTTTTACGGAACGATATCGATTCTTAAATCCAAAGAATCGATTAGTGTAGCCTGTTTTCAGTTCATGGATGGAACATTGAAGGGCACTTCCCATCCAATAAATCGCAATAATCATTGTGCGTTGGTGCTTTTAATATGAAACAAAGTCTCAGATTTCAATTTATGTCCATTGTATTGCAGTATTCAAACAATAAATGCTGCAGCAGTGCGTAGCGCACGTGAACTGATCATCTCCTCCACATTAATACCAGTTTCAGCACAAAATAAACGTGACTAAACATCCGAAGGTAAGTTAAAAGAAAGAGTACAACTTTACAATCTGTATCCTGTCTCATGTAATCGTTCAATCAATGTTTCAGCCGTGCAAAGATGTCAATATAACGGCTTGTAAACAATGTCATGTAACGTCACATTTACCTCAGAAACAAAGTTATTCGGTGACCATAAACTTGTTTTGTCAGCCAGAAAAATACAATGTAGAGAGGGGTATTTTGCTAAATATATGCACCATATAACATATTGTAATTTTTACTGTTCTTATGTTTAATTTATGTTTGAATAAATCCACAACGAAACGTTAAAAAACGAATTGAAGTAGAAATTATGTAATTGTAACTTTATTTTAAAAACTTAATTGTGGAATTTTAACAGTTGTATGCTATAGCTTACAAATCAGTCCATTTTAACCTTCAATAGTATAGTAATGTAGTACCAACTGACTCTCATGTATATTTTACAGCATTAGCTGAGAGATTTTTTTTCCTGGAGAAAATTTGGTATGTACTGTACCTGATATATATCCAAAATAATCGATATCGAGTCGGTAATCGAATCGAATCGTGAAATTTGTGTCACTAATGATAATGCGTAAACATTAATCAGTAAAATTCATGCAAGAGAATTTACGTCTGCAAACATGGCGATACCTGATGTATCTTCTTTAACTTAAGGTGGAATATTTGTCATTCAGGTGACGTTATATTTGAAACTAATATGTGACCCTGGAGCACAAAAGCAGTCTTAAGTCGCTGGGGTATATTTGTAGCAATAGCCAAAAATACATTGCATGGGTCAAAATTATAGATTTTTCTTTTATGCCAAAAATCATTAGGATATTAAGTAAAGATCATGTTCCATGAAGATATTTTGTAAATTTCCTACTGTAAATATATTAAAACTTAATTTTTGATTAGTAATATGCATTGCTAAGAACTTCATTTGAACAACTTTAAAGATGATTTTCTCAATATTTCGATTTTTTTGCACCCTCAGATTCCAGATTTTCTAATTGTTGTTTCTCGGCCAAACATTGTCCGATCCTAATAAACCACACATCAATGGAGAGCTTATTTATTCATCTTTCAGATTATGTATAAATCTCACATTTTTTTAAAAAATGGACCCTTATGACTGGTTTTGTGGTCCAGGGTCACGTGTTTTTTGTTGTTGCAGTATTCAGTACTGTGATCAGCATAAAAGCAATCTATTGAACTCAGTCGATTATCGATTTGAACCCGTATGCAGTCCGCTAGTGCATCATCGTGGTCTCAGTCTCACGCAGCTTCTGTGACTTCATCATTGACCACAACGCGCTAGAGACTTGATCTTAAACGCAACATCATTTAGCTTTAATCTTGACCTTTTACAACGTTATACTAATGCAACGTTATACCCGCAATACAGCTTAAAAAGGAAATAGGATTTTAAACTTGTATGAATAAATTACCCGTTCTAACAGTTGCGCTAGACGTCTATCAGTAACGTGCTAATCGACTAAAATGGACTACAGTTCAATCTAGGACCATCAGCCATGCAGCAAATCTCTCGATCACCAAACCGTCTCTAATCATCTCGGGTTTTAACCGATCATATAAGGAAAATTGACAGGATCACATGAGGAGTTCGCTAGCTTGTTGATGGTCGACTGCGATGTGTGAAGTAAGCTACTGAACCAAGCAGTCCGCCTTTAAAATAAAAGTCCCGTTGCAGTGATTTACAACATCCGCTGGGGACAGCCACGCGTTACTTACCGACGACTACGATATACATTTTTAAAGGGGTCATATGATGCTTTTTTAAAGATCATTATTTGGTGTATTTGGTGTAACAGAATATGCTGACATGCTTTAATGTTCAAAAAACACCTTATTTTTCAATTTACAATAATTTCACATTATTGCTTTCCACAATAGGCTATAGATCATTCCAAACAAGTAAACAAAGCAAGGGTGACATCAACAAGGAAGACTTATTGTGATTCAGAATGACTGTAGCCTACTCTAGTTTATTACTGTAAGTCCATCTGAAGCTGTGGGATGTGGTGATGAGGTACATCCATGAACTACAGTGATTGTGCATGTGCACTGGCTTTTTTTAAAGGTATTTGAGCAAAATAAACAACTTTGATGAGACAGTTGTTGTCAGATTTCATTGGTGATTTCAAATATAAAATGTATATTGCTTGGTAGACAGTTTTGGAGAATTCAATGTTTCCCCATTCAAAGAGATAGGAGCTGCACTTGCATGCCCGAGAGGTGTTTCAAAGATGGTCACAGAGTGAAATGACGTGTCCTAAAGGGACTTTGGTTAATAACAGTACAGCTACTGGACCTCAGGATGGACATCCCATGGTGTGGGCAGAGAGACATAATGTTCAGTGCAAAAAAGGGGTTTTCCAAAAGCTTCATCACTCTTTTTTGCTTTTCCTTTTTGATCTAAAACAGCAACGCATTATGAAGAATTTGCACATTTTAAAGAAGACATAGAGAACTACAGTGAGGACAGTGATGAGAAAAGCGAACACATCCAGACAGTGGTACTGGTACCAGGTAAGGTTGTGGGCCTCGACACGCAGGTGTTTAGCGCCTTTATTGCGCATGACGAACTCAATCCAGAACACAGACTCGTCCAAAGGCTTTACTGGTCTGTCATGATGAATCCTGGACAAACGCATAGCGTTCTCTTTATACCTGCGGAGATTAAGATACTGTAAATACTGTTATATGTCTGTGTATGCTTTGCTGTTCATCTATCTATTGTGTCTGCATTGAATATTAATGAAAAAGCCAGCACAGAGCCTTCAAAATATCACTAAAGTCTTATCATAGTTGTACAATGAAAGTCAGCTCACGAGGGATCGTTAATGACAGCACTGAGTCCATCCACCAGGTCTTGAATCTGCATACTGTTGAAGTCAATGATAACAGCAGCACCTTTGGCCTTCATATGAACTAAATTATCAGGCTGGTCACCAAACAAGGGGATCCCGACCATTGGAACTCCATGATATATGGCCTCATATATGCCATTAGTGCCTCCATGAGTGATGAATGCTCTGGTTTTAGGGTGACCTGAATCAGGAAAGAAAACATGGATAGTATGATTATTTTGTTTGGCACAAGGTAACCAGTAGGGGGCTACATAGTTTCATTTAAAAGTGCCTGTACCATTAAACTAATGTAGTATAATTCAGTTAGCTATCTACAGTATATATGCCAGTTTATAGCTCTTGAAAAACATTGCATTTTTCTTAAACATAAATACACAATCACTAATTTTAATACAAACCCAATAAATCATTCTGAGGGATCCACTTATAGATTCTGGTGTTTTCACCAAGAGTATCTGGCTTCTCTCCACCATATCGCCATAAAACCTGCAAGCAAAACAAAACCCATTTATACAACCGCATTAACAACGGATAAGTGTAGACTGAAAAAGAGATTAAAGAGAATCACTAGCTGACCTACGAGGACTGAAAGCTTCTACTTTTCCCCTTTATCAAGAAGCAGGGTTGATCAAATATGGAAAGAATAGAAGAATGTGAGAATGGTAAATAACCTTCTGTGGAATCTGTGCCAGTGCAGAGGCGATCGTATTGCTCCTGTCTTTGGTCATGTTGTTTACCAAGGACCCCAGAGTGAAGACCACAATCCCATCATCCCCTGAACTCTGCACAAACTCCTCCATGTCCTACACAGAAAAAAAAGTACTACCTATAGGCTAGTATTGTGTATGAATGCTCAAAAATAAAATGAACATTTATGCATTTACTATAATCTAGAGAAACGTTGATCAGTTATTAGTTATCCATTACTCAACTTTAAGAACCCTACAGTACTAACTCTTTTTTTATTGTCTCTGAGAACAAAGGTACAGTTTGCTATTTTTCATGGCATAGATGTAAAAGTTAAACTTGGTGAACTTTTCGCTGAATCATCCTCTGCAAGTTTAAAGGCATAGTGCAAACAAAATATGCTAAAAATGCACTCACCCTCATTCCATCCAAGATGTGTTTGTTTCTTCAACCTGAACAGATTTTGAGAAATTTTGCATTATATCACTTGCTCAGCAATGGATGCTCTGCAGTGAATGGGTGTCGTGGTCAATAGGTTCTCTTTTTGCTGCAATTATTTAAATACCAAGTACTACCTATAGGCTAGTATTGTGTATGAATGCTCAAAAATAAAATGAACATTTATGCATTTACTATAATCTAGAGAAACGTTGATCAGTTATTAGTTATCTATTACTCAACTTTAAGAACCCTACAGTACTAACTCTTTTTTTATTGTCTCTGAGAACAAAGGTACAGTTTGCTATTTTTCATGGCATAGATGTAAAAGTTAAACTTGGTGAACTTTTCGCTGAATCATCCTCTGCAAGTTGAAAGGCATAGTGCAAACAAAATATGCTAAAAATGCACTCACCCTCATTCCATCCAAGATGTGTTTGTTTCTTCAACCTGAACAGATTTTGAGAAATTTTGCATTATATCACTTGCTCAGCAATGGATGCTCTGCAGTGAATGGGTGTCGTCATATTGAGAGTCCAAACAGCTGATAAAACATCACAATAATCCACAAGTAATCCAAACCACTTCAGTCCATCAATCAACATCACGTGATGTGAAAGGCTGCATATTTGTAAGAAACAAATCCATAATTAAAACGTATTTAACTTCAAATTGTTGCTTCAGGCTAAAACAGGTGTCCATAATTTTGCTTTCTCAAAAGAGAAATATATTATATTAAATATGTTACATACCTGTATAACTTTTAAGGATAGAAATATGCACAGAACAAGCACTGTTTACATGCAAAAATAGTCCAAAACAGTTCTAAACAAATATGTGAGTGGATTTTGATGGGAAAGGACATCACTATTATACATGGAATTAACTTTAAGATATTTCTGACAGTGTTTAAGCGAACACCTATGTCTAACATGGAGTGTTTAATGAGTTAATAATTAACAATACAATGTACGTCCACATTTTTTCACTTCCTGGCGCTGCGTAAATGATTTTCACCGCTTTCTGTAGCTAGCGTTTCCTTCCCACCAATAAAACAAGCCCCTTGTCGCTCTTCTCCGGCCATTAGGAGCCTTTCAGGGGTTCATCCGCAATTATACGAAGCTACGAGAATATTTTTTGTGCGCAAAAGGAAAAAAAACAACTTTATTCAACAATTCGTCTCCTGAGAGGTGCTTTTTTCATCCAAATTCAGAAGCATGGTTTGCAAATTTATTTAAATTACATTTACATGACCATATTGTGAATAGAGTCAAAGCTAAATGGTATGACACAATGTAGGATTTTTAGAGAGGAAAATGTAAACAAGAAAAAAATCTATAAATTTTGAATGATTGATTTCCATTGTGTGAATATGTAATCATGTAATCCATAAAATGCAACTGTAATCTGATTATGAGCATTATAAGATGTAATATACTCTAATTACGAGTACTTGACTTTTGGAATCGGATTACGTACATATCCAGATAATATGTAATCAGTTACAACCCATTACACAAAAGGTTCTTCACAGTGGAAAAAAATTCTTGAGATTATTCAAATGTTCTTAACACTAAGAAAATGGTTCTTCTAAAAAAAAAAAAAAAAAAAAAAGAACACTTTTGGAACCTTTATTTTTAAGAGTATGTGATAGGAGAACGTCTTCATCAATAACATCTAAACAATGAAACTAGCAAATATTCATGCTCCATCAAATTTGTTCTTATAAAAAACTAAATGTTTCAGATGATCCCACTTTTCCCCAATCCAAAATGTTCTAACTCCTCTTCCTCTGTAAAGTTACAGCATGTTGCTTTTTGAAGTATACATTTGCCTAATCTGATTACAGATCATTGGATTGTCAGTGTGCCATAAAAAAAGTGCTCTAGAGGAGAGAGCCGCTGTCCGGCCAACAATGGGTGTCCCTCCAGCCAGTGATGCACCTGCATGCACTCCAAGCAGCTCTCCTGTCTCGCACAGATAACACTTTCTACCCTCTCCTCCATGCTTCCTTTATTTTTAGGGGGGGAAATATAAGGATTTATGACCCCTCCAGCCCCCTCTTTTGGAGACGGGGTCTCAGACAGAGTGGGAAAAATTTAGCATGCAGCATGTGAATTGGTTTAGACGTATAAAGAGATCAGGGTTAATCAGTTGGCACCAGAGACACTTCTGCATTCAGCCTCCTTTCGGGGAGGGCAACGGAGCGCGGGAGTGAATGCATGTGAGAGAGGGAGGGAGGGAGAAGCCCATGATCTGCTCCATTGTGATAACAGATTTAGGCAGAGTGTGGGGTTCCGATAAGGAAAAGGCACACTCAATAGAAGATTAGCCGCATACTTGGAGTAGAACAGTGAAGGAGAGGAGGACACTTGGAAAGAAGAGGAGATGTGTTAGTCATGCTGAAATGGATTCTGTTTATTATTTACTATTAATTTTTACTCTCTTTTCATCACATTAACATTTGCTTTAAATATCAGTTGCTGTGTAACACAGCTCGAGTCTAATCTTAGCTGATTTATCCATTTAAAGCATGGAACAGCACAATATTTAGAAATGGATACTCTGTCAAGACAAATTTATTTAAATTTATGTTTCAAAGCAGCTTTACAGAAAATCATGATGTTAAAGGGTTAGTTCACCCAAAAATGAAAATTCTATTATTAATTACTCACCCTCATGTTGTTCGAAACCGTAAGACCTTCGTTCATCTTCAGAACACAATTTAAGATATTTTTGATGAAATCTGAGGGCTCTCTGACCCTCCCATAGACAGCAAGGTAACTACCACATTCAATGTCCAGAAAAGTACCAAGATGATCGACAAAGTAGTCCGTGTGACATCAGTGGTTCAACTGTAAAGTTACGAAGCTACGAGAATACTTTTTTGCGCAAAGAAAACAAAAATAATGACTTTATTCCACATTTTCGTCTCTACTGCATCACTTGTGAATGCGCGTTCACGACAGTATCATGACGCGAGCGTGTGGCGGCGCTGACCCAGATCCGGCATAGTGACGTCATTATCTGGGTTAGCGCCGGCGCCGCCACACGCTCGCGTCATGATACGGTTTATGATAGTTTTATATATCCACAAGTTTTATTATTTTTATATATACAACTTTATATAAAGAGCTGGGTGATAATATAGTTACATTTGCAATGAAATAAAAAAAAATCAAGAAGGTGAGATTTGCAATATAGTAAAGTATATTGTATGTATGTGGATAAAGTTGGACATTTTTATATATCCAACTTTATATATAGAACTTGCCGATGATTACCGTATTGACCCGAATATAAGAGGATGTTTTTTTCTTGGAAATACATCTGAATAAAACGCGGTCGTCTTATATTCAGGGTCTAGACTTTGACATGTCAATAATACACCCACAACAATACGCATAAAACGAGTGTGCCATGAAATGCGTCATGTAACGCGTGTTGTAAAGATCGCGAGTAAAAACTAAAGAAAAAGAAAAGCTTACAGCTGCATGAGTCGCGACTGTCACGTTAGCCTGATGGAACCAAACTCCCTTTGTGATTTTAAAACGTAAGACAGTACCCAGATTTGAAGACTACGGTAAGATTGAACTTCTACTGTTAATAAGATTTTGAATTAATACTATTAGATGGATAGCCTAAATGTCCTAATTCAGATGGGCTACCTGTTTTTTTTTTATGGTATATCAAAAAGTGTATATTTTTTTTAAATGTGATTGTTGGTAGATTTGACCAGTTTTTACCATACTTTCAAAACAAAAATTAAAATAGGAAAAATATGCAATATGAAAATAATTGAAGACAAAATGTGTTTTACTGAGAAAAAACAAGATTTGGTTTTTAAAAAGCCTTTTTCCAAAAGGTGCATCTGGAAAAAGGGGGATCGTCTTATAATCAGGGTTGTCTTATATTCGGGCCAATACTGTACATTTTGTGAAAATAGCAGCAATCAAGAAGTTGAAATTTGCTATATAATAATAATAATAATAATAATAATAAAATACTTGAGATTTGCTACATATTATATATGTCAAGCAGCAAAATTTACATTATAATAGGCTATGTATTGCCCTAAGTGAGTATATTGCATGTATGTGGATAAGGTTGGACATTTATATATAACCTACTTTATATTTAGAGCTTGCCAATAATATAGTTTACATTTTGTGATGATAATAGCAATCAAGAATTTGAGAATTGCTATATAGTATAGTGTATTTTATGAATGTGGATACATTTTGACATTTTTATATATCCAACTTTACATAAAGAGCTGGGTGATAAAAACATTTTGTGATTAAATGAAAAAATCAAGCTGTTTTGCTATATAGTATATATCGCCCTAAGTAAGTATATTGTATGTATGCAGATAAAGTTAGATTTGTTCACATATCCACCTATATACTGTATATATAGAGCTTGCCTATAATATAGTCTATATTTTAATGACAACAGCAATCAAGCAGTTAAATATAGTATATATATATAGTAATAGTATATATTGCCCTAAGTGAGTATACTGTATGTATGAAGTTGGATATTTTTATATAGAGCTGGGTGACAATTTGGTTACATTTTGCAACACAAAAAAAAAAATTAGGCAGTTGAGATTTGTTATATAGTATATATCGCTTTACATGAGTGTACTGTTGGAGGTGATACACAACCCACTAGAGCTGTGCGATAATACAGTTTACAGTATATATTCTTATTTATGCAAATATTGTTAGTAGATAGTGATTGTTTGAACATTATTTAAACCAGAAGGCTCTAAATAATCATTAGCAACCATTCACACACTTGCCAGATGAGCTTTGCTTTTCCGTGTTTGGTTTTAGGATCACAAAGTAGCTTTTTTTGTGTTTGCGGTTGTGATTGTGTGTTGTGTTAAATGGAGATTAGCACGGAGGGTCAGTCAGCTGCTGATTTCAAATGGCTAAAGTGGTATGAACAGATGCCCAGAAACTCACTCTTCCTCTGTGATGATGATAGTAACACAGCTAAATGGGATTTAACTTTGTTTTGTTTTTTACACTTTAGGTCAAATGTGGTCTGAAGACTAGAGTAATCTGAACAGAAATGATGGATATGCTTATTTGCAGTGTTTACATGCATTTATCCAAAATCATCTCATGATCTCAATAATATATAAATATATATATATATATATATACACATATATTAGTGCGGTCAAACGATTAATCTCATCTAAAATAAAAGATTTTGATTACATTATATATGTATGTGTACAGTGTATACTTATTATGTATATATATACACACATACAGGTATATATTTAGAAAATATTTACGTTTATACATTTATATATTCATATTCTGTTTAAAAGTTAATTAACCTAAAAAAAAAAACTGGTATTAAAATTTAATAGATAAATTTTCTGTACTGATGTGAATGTAGCACAAACGCACACACTCCCACTTTTGTGCACCTGATTGGTCACGGACAAGTGTGGATTTTGACTCCAAGATGACCTCTGGCCTCAGATCAAAAGTTAAGCCGAGTTTACAATCCAATCTCTCGTGTGGCTTGGACACTTCCAGAGGTCATCACTATGGTCACACGACTCTTAAACAGCCTCTGCAGTGAACAATTAAGTGACCACAACATAAAAGCCAATCAGAGTCTTCAGAGCTGACCATTACATGCACACTGGTTCATACAAACCTGTTACAACAACAGCCACTTTAACCAACCAAACAAAGAGTTTTTTTAGGCATTTTAATTTCAAACAGACTAATAAATTAATCCAATAAATAATTTCCAAGCAATTTGATTATTGAGAAAAAACTATTTACACTTTTGAATAATGAATACACAAAAATAACCTTTGGCAAAACATATTTAATAAGATTTTTCCATTTAATAAATTACGATTTAATGTACAACAAGTCACATGTGCTGAATCCATTGAAAGCATAAATAATAAATAAAAAATTAAATACAATCAAATAAATTACAGTTTCAATTCTGAGGCTGCCTTCAGTCTCAAACAAAACATTCTTGGGTGTTAATTCAGTCAAGGAAATGAAACGACATTAATACTAAAAAGTATCAGGGAGATGCTTCCCAAGTGCATCCTTGACCATGCATATGTTGTTTAGGGTTCCTGCTCAATTACAGCAGTACTGGTGATGAATAAAGTGTTTCTGGGTTTCCACAGATCATTCGTTTCCAAAAAGCTCGGAAGAAATGAGTGATTGTGATGTTATAGTGAACATTCCGAGTTCCAAAAATCCAGCTTCGTCTCTCCATGGCAATGGAATGTTCAAAAACATCACAATCACGGAATCCTTTCACAGAACGCTCACGCTTCAGCTTCGTTCTACCAGGCTTCTGAACTGTCACAGCTGGACCCGGGTGAGGGCGGGTCGGTGTCGCTGGTCCAGGTGCGGTCGGTGCGCAGCTTCTGCATGTTCCCCGTGATCAGTGTGAGGAGCGCGGCTTGCGAGTGAGCCGACGGCTCTCCTCCCTGGCTCTCCAGCAGAGTCACCAAGAAGTTGATGTAGCGCATGGCCAGCCGCAGGATCTCGTTCTTGCTGAGTTTTTTCTCGGGCGGGTGCGTGGGGATGAGTTTCCGCAGCTCTGCGAAGGCTGTGTTGACATTATGTTGGCGCCAGCGCTCACGTGTGTTGGGGAACACCTTCCTGGTCATGATACTGCGGTACTTCTGCAAAAAATAAAATATCGTTATCAAATCATTGTCTGAATATTAAAGCATGGGGGAAAAGGAAAATAATTCTATTAATAGCAACAAGTACAAACACTTACCACTTTACGTTGTCTTGAAGCTCTATGAACGTTGGAGCATCAGGCATGAAAAATCTAAAAATAGTCCAGATGGTAGGTAAAAGCAGCAGTGTGTGTGTTAAGTAAAGATAAAGAGCTGTCAGGTAATGGCAGAAGTAATAATCCAGCATCCGTCCTCTCACTCTCAGAACCCTTGAACAAACTCCTCAGATGGAAAACCGGGTGAAAGAGAACGAGGTCGTGAGGGAGGGGTGGGGTTTGGCTTGTGCTCCTCATTTTTATAGTCATGCCGCTGCGTGACGTTGCAGGGTGCGAGTGGGGGGGGAATGATTTTTACATCTGCTATTAATGCGTTTAAATTGATTAACATAATGCGTCGTGTTTCCATTCACAGCAATAGCATCTGGGGGGCTAAATACAAAGAAATCCAACTTTTTACCAGCTGAACATGAAAAACAAACTGCAGTCTAGTGTTTAAACCAAACAGGGTACATTCATTTCAAATAAAAAGCTTTTGTTTCATGCATCATGTCCTGCGCTTAATCTTCAATTCACCGCAGTGTCAAAAACTCTTAGTAAATATGAATTAAAATACTATAAATATAAATGTAAATATAAATATATACTTAATGCTTTATATAGCATATTTTGATGTAATATTTAAATATTTTAATATGTACATTTTATTAATTAATAAATCTAATTATTAGATACATACATCGATATACAGTACTAACTAAAACTTAAACTATATAGGCATATTTGTAAAAAAAAAAAAAAATTTAAATCAAAAACGATCACAAAACTTTAAAATTAAAATGGTTACCATTTAAAAACCATTTTACCATATATATATATATACACTTTACAGTAGACTGCCACTCACATTAATACATAGCTTGGCCATTTTGCTTTTAAATAGTTTTGACAAATATTTCTAGTTTTGATGTTCCCAATTTAATCCAATAATGTGTGTCAATATATTTTGCATATTTTCCACTCTCTTTAAAAGTCGTCACATTGCACATCTTTTCAAATATACCTAATAGCACGTAATGAAGCGAATATATACCATTTTTACTATTGTAAGTTTATTCATAATCTTAAACACTTCCACATTCAGCCCACCGGGAAACAACAGACTGGGACTATTCAAAGCAGACTTATTGCCTATGAGCTCTAACAAATACGTGGCTGTTGTACAAAATGTGTTTCCCTCTTTTGTTGGGATGCTGGATGTCCACCTGCTAACAGATCTATTACAGCGACTCTGTCCAATAGTGAAGTGACACCATCATGAAAACTTTCCTCTGATTGGACAACACGGTGTCAAAAAACCCCACAGCATATTCACCCTGACAGAGTAATAATATGGGTTTTGTCTGAATGATGGTAATCTTGTTTAGCATGTCCTGGGGCTTCACATAAATTACACTAGGTTATGACAGAGGCAAGCTTGTGGATCAGCACATTCTTTGGGGCCAAGGTCTCCGAAGCCCCCTCTCGCTCTTTCCCGAACTCTCAACCTCCCTTCAGATCAAAAGCTGGTGTCTCGCTGCAGCAATTGTTGCGTTAAAAGTCTCTCTGCGAATTGTGGGGGATTTGCATAATGGGATTATGGAGGGATTAGGAGTCAGGCAGAGGACAGACACAGTTAGGACAGATCTGAATTCACGACTCCATTCATATGGACTCGACCGCTCAACACACCCTGCACCTGCAGAGCTGCCTTTCAGATCTGCCAAAAACTTAAGCGAAACGCAAACCTGCCCAAATCGAAACTCTCTCCCAATCCACACCCAAACTTTTGACCTACCTGAGCTGATGGTGATGCAATAGGCGAGATGCAATTAAACAGAGACTTCTGCTGCTCAGATGTTTCTCCTGTGAAAAACAGTCCAGTAATCTCTCAGATTTGGTCCGAAGCCTGCAATCAAAAGATGTATTTGTCAATACGAATTCAAAAATTTCAAAGACCTAATGATCAGAGCTATGCAATCCAAATAAACCGAATCAAATGCAACTGATTTTATTTTAAGGAATTCCAAGACAAACCTGGACATATACTGTATATAAACATGAGAAATACAATTTTGCTTAAAAATAATATTTAAAAGTATATTATATATATATATATATATATATATATATATATATATTATAAATCCCTCAAAGTGCAAAAAAATCTTTTAAAAATTATATATTTAAAATACAAATACATGTATATTTTATATAAAGTATATTAATTGTATGAAAAATCTAATGTGAGAAATACAATTTTGATTTAAAAATAATTTAGTATTTATTATTTATATTGTAATATATTTTATTACATCATATACAGTATATTATTATGTTATTTGTATAAGGTACATAAATAAAACAAGGGGAAAAAATGGAACAATAAAAAAAAGGAAAATAACTGACTGCAAATGCAACTTACTGTAGGGGTTAGTGAATTGTTCAGATTGCCTTAGCAAGGACCAACTAAATGCAGAAACCTTCCCCAACTGTTCCTATTTGAGCATTTAGTTGACATTGTTAAACACTGTTGACACTGTAATAAGGACGACAAGAGATTTGACCCAATGTTTGCAATGAAGAGAGTGGTTAAACAGGTTCAGATTTGAACAGCATGCTCTGTTCTCACAGCTTTTTTCCATCTGAAAGAGCGCTGTGATTACGGTCACATTACTGACGTATTTATTGACACCGCTGTGTTTTACTGCCTCAGACTGGACACACGTCTTCCTCCCTCACAGCCCTGTGTCCAAACACTGCCGTTTTATTTGCTTTTGTTTGAGTAGGGGCAGTTCAGATGGTGTTGGGAGTTATTTATGGAGGCTGTTTGGTGTTTTACAGAGGCTGAGGCTCACGAGTTGCAGAGGGAGTGAAAGGGAGAGTGATGGAGAGAGGAAAATGCCCTGTGGGAGTGTTTGTTCTGGAGCTCATTCCTGCGAGGGGCTGCCGTCAGACTGCTGGCGTGCTGAGATAAGCCCTCCGACCCCCATCGCTCTCCCTCTTTTCCTCCTCCTCTGTCTGTGCAGCGCTTTCCCTCTGCTCTGACTGTCAGCGATAAGAAGATCGTCCTGTAATTGAATGACTATCTTTCTATCACGCTCATTTCAGAAAATAGCGAGGGGCTGGAAATGCGTATGGTGTGGGAGATAAATGAATGGCCACTGTTGCCGTAGTCCCCAATCTACATCCAGACTGGTAATTTTGAAAATGCTTTTTTTAATGCCAATCAATTCAGCTTCACATACCGAATGATTTATTCAGTTCCAGACCGGCGTGACCTCTTCTAAATAAGCGGCGTAGCATCAGTAACGTGTAGTGGGAAATGTTAATTTCTCAATACAGTGTCACGTTTGAATAGAACTCTTTCATCTGCATTCAGATGCATTCTTTACACCTGCTTCTGTGTACAGACTATAAAGCTAACAGATGCATGTGTGCATACGCTCACTCTCAACTGTAGGTCAAAGGTCAGTACATAAAAAAGCCACGTCATTCTGGAGTCAAAAAACAAAACAGCACTAAATACTTTTATACAATCAAAGCTCAACCCTTCTGTTGTACCCTAAGAAGCACATTTAAAAAGACAAGTCTAGTTAAATCTAATAATCTCCTGTAATTCGAAAACGTTTTGATTAGTAAATTTCAAAGACTTTTCCAGCTATTCATTAATTTTTTTTAAATAATGAGTAAAAAAGTTTAAATTATAAATTACTACTTTCACAAGTAGATATTAATAGTTGTAAAATCAAAATCATTTTAGAATTGAGCATAATTAGAAAAATACATATTCACTGTATTTACCATATTAAACAATGACTGTGGAGAACCCTGTAAAAAAACGATATGATAAATAATACAAATACTAAATCTAAAATTATGCAATTGCAAGCATTTTAATAAACAAAAATTGTATAAATATATTCATAAATAAACGTTTTATTCATTAATGATTTTTTAAATAGCATAAATAGCAAGCATTAATTCATAGCTATATATACTAGAATATTTTAAAGTTGAGCAAAATGTAAAAATATATCTTCAATTTTCAAGATTTCATACATTTTTATGGCATTTCAAGTCCTGGAAAACAAAATGTGTAAATTGTCGCAACTGTGGGTACCCTCTAAAAAATAAATAATAATAAAAATATTAAATCTAACAAAATGTGTTTATTTTGTAATCATGTCAATTTGAAATATATAAAAAGAAATGTTTGATTTGACCGTTTCTTTTTCTTTTTGCAACTGTCATTCTGATATAAATACTGATATAAATACACCTAAAGGGTGATAATTTAAACATTAACATGTACTAATTTTTGGAACAATATCTACATTTATTATAAACCATTCATTTTATACATTTACTATAAATTATATACATATATTTTAACGGACATATGACTGAACTGTATTAATGTAACATTACATTCTACATGAAAACTGAAAATACAGATGAGCGTGAGATATATTCTAAAATATCACTCAAGCGAAAGTAGCAAAACTTGCTCAGAAAAATCTCAGTCTGGTCTGTCCATCATTTCTGCCTGGAACTCGCTCACATAGCAGTCTTCCTCTCTTGCAGTGCGGCAGCACTGGGAATAAACACA